AAAAGTTCCTTACAATTAAAAGACAATAGACAATTTTTTTATACTATTATTGTTTATGGTCTCTGTCACTTGTGTCAGTTCAATTTTGAAATTTCTAATCACTAATTTGAGAATTGTTATATAATATTGGATTTCAGGTTGATAATAAAGAATCCACTAAAATGGAAAATAATGGCATTAATCCATGGGACACCTCCACCATCGATAGCCTGATGAAGAAGATACATCCTTTAATTAAGAAATTTGATGTGAGATGTTTTAATCCTATTACCTACCTGCCTTGATTTAATACATCTGACTAAGATTCAGTTCCCTTATGCTTCTTTGAATACATTTCAGGGGTACCGTTCAAGCACTAAATCATACACAGGAAAAGTGGCCTTATCAATGTTGAAGAATTCATCAAGGAATAAAGTTATAGAAATAGGTTCTACACTCTTTAGTCTTGTCATATTTATTATCTGAAATCTGAGAGTAAAACACCATTTTGGCTCTTGAAAAATTTCGAGTTAGTCACATTACTCACTGAAACATTAGAACTGTCATTTTTTCCTTGAAAGATGAAAAAAAAAATCAATTTAAGTCTTTCAGGGATCAAAATAGCGTTCCACTCAAAATCTAAATGTAGTTGTCTGACTGCTTTCCAGCTTTATGCATATGTAAGATCAACATGAAGAGTTCATTTTTATGTTAATCACTTTCCTCATACGCAGATTCCAATTTATTTTACTAACAGTACTATTTCTTGTTTGTCCTTAACATGACATTAAAGGTGGAATGAAGTACCATATCAAGGGCTGTGCTGGACAGGGTGGGTTTGCCCAAGTATATAAGGCAACTGTCGACAGTGATCCTGACAATGTTGTTGCACTAAAGGTGATGATGGCCTTTCAAATTATTTTTCTTTGAAATGTAGACCTATTATCTCATTAGATTGTATTTTGATCCTTAAATGGCAGATACAAAATCCAGCATTCCCTTGGGAATTTTACATGTATCGTCAACTTGATCAGCGCATCTTAGATAGAGAGGTATGCTGTTATCAATTATACTATCAACCTGCTGTTTCTATGAGCATGTGCTTATTCTGATTTCTGCGTTTAACTTTATCAGAGGTCAAGTTATGGTTTCGCTCAACAAATGCATCTCTATTCTGACTGTAGTATACTCATCTGTGACTATTTAGCTAATGGGACATTACAGGTCAGTTATTTTATTTCTGTTGATTTCCCTTGCTATCTTCAGTATTCTATGGTATTAATCTTCAACTGAAAATACTGTGCAGGATGTCATTAACTCATATGTGGTCATAGGAAAATCCATGGAAGAATTGTTGTGTATTTATTACACTATAGAAATGTTACACATGGTTGAAACTTTGCATGATGTTGGCTTGATTCATGGTGATTTCAAGCCTGATAATCTGCTAATTCGCTATGCTATGTAAGCTTCTCTCGCAACTTGCATTTCATGCTCATGTCTCACTTATTTTAACAAATTTCATGCTTGTACAATTAGAATTCTAATACTTCAAAACTTTCCCTTTCTTTCAAGTTATCCATTTGTCCCTTTCCTTCATTCCTTGGTTTGTTTGTATCTCGCAATACGTAATTGTAAAGTTGTTTCC